ATATTGATTTTGTCTAAATCAATATAAGCGAAGAGTTTAATTTTCCTATAGTATTATATTTTAATAATAAAAAATTAAACTTAAATGTAAAAATAAAATTACAATTATTAAAAATTATATAATTTTTTTTACATTTAAGCATTCTATTACACAATAATACTCAAAAGCAATAAAAACAAATTTCAAGCTTTTGTTAAAAATACAATGTGACATGTTTTTTAAGAGGGGCTGCCGTATTATAAGTTTTAAGAAGTAATTAAATTTTTTAAATGAATGATCTTATCGAAATAAATTTCATTCTATGACGTTATAATTAAAATAGTTATTCGATTTAAAATAAAAATTTTAGGTAACAATACACAAATTTTATTTTGATTTATTTTACGAATTTGTCTTTAAATGTTGTAAAGAATATGTAAAATATTTAGTACATAAAATTTTAGTAGGCAAAGTAGATTTTAGTTGGTTTAAGATAAATATTGGTTTAATAAAATTACATACATATGATTATTTACATTTATGATTATATTTTTCCAAACCTGAAATTATTTTCTATAAAACTTATGTGGTATTATGTACGCGTATGCATACAGGAATAAAAAATATCGTAACACAAAAAAAGTGAATAAATTAAAAATGATGGTCTGTTATTTTCTACTGATTATTATTTAAGTTCAGTTTTTATATTATATTCATTGTTGCTATATTTATGTTTTTGTTTTGTATTATAAAAACACGAATGTTCTGAATTTGTAAATGAAAATCTGATCATTGAATTTATAGTTATTTAAAGTATTTTGTTTATGCATTTATTTACTTATTGAGGACAGAGTGTTTATTTACTGTAACAGCTTTTTCAGACCTAAGTTTCTGCTATCACTTATGAGAATTTCAAGTACAGGTTTAATGCAGTAGTTTTAAGTGATTTCTATCATTTTTTCTAAAAGGTCATTTTTTTAATAGTCAAATTAAGATTTAATTGATAGTAATTTATTACTCTTAAGCTCCTCTGTACCTTTGACTTTGACAGGTCAACTAACTACGAGAATGTCCAAAATATAGAACAAAATAGTAATAATTTTATTAGATAATTAGTTCTGTTTTCCACAGATGAAATCTAGAGTGAGTTGTTATTATGGAATAAGTTCATTTCAGATTTTTAATCCAGATTTTATAGGATCATTAAAGATAATTGTTGTATTTATAAAATTACTCATCACTATTTTTCCCCTCTTCCTATCATTATTAATATATTAGGTTTAATAAGGAAAAAGGAATAATGAAAAGCATTATTATTTGTAAAAGTTATGCTGTATTATATACAGTGCGTAAAATAAAATAAAAGTAAAAAACTTGAATAACTCTTGATTTAATGATCGGATTTTAACTTACTAGATCTCAAAGGGTTTGAGGGCCAAACTTAAAATATGTTAATTAGTTGGTGCAGAAGTTTTTTTTTAAGTTATGAAATCCGGCAAACGTGCTTCCTCTACCTACATATATAAATGTTATTGTTGTTGAATTTGGATATTTGCTTCTCAAAATATTGATGGTATTCACAATATGGAAATTAAGATCCCAAAAGTTTTTTTAGGTTGAAAGTTTGGACTCTTTTATTCAATTGCAGGTTTCATGCATTTCGCCATGTCCCGAGAACTTTTGAAACGAATTGAAAAAATTTTGCAACTATTAATAAAATTCATTAACCTAAAAATAATTCCCTGTCAAAAATAGTTTTTTTTAAAATTATTTATTATTAATGGTCGGAACAATTTTTAATTTAAAAATATGCAAATTTTTATATAATTTTAAAGAATATTTATTTAAATGGTAAAATATAAAATTTGAACGAAATCTGTCGAAAAGTTCTTGAGAAATTAAATGTTAAATATATAACTTTTTTAAAATTGAATAATTAAGGTTTATTTGATTGATTTAGTACACATTAAATTTTGTATTTTGTCATTCAAAATGACATTTGTTCAAATTTTCAATTTAAAGTTCTTTCGACTATTCTGTTAATAAATAAAATAATATAAAATGATTAATACTTCTTAAAAATTATTTTTAGAATGAACTATTTTTAGGTAAATGAATTTTATTATTGTGAGCTAAAATGTTTTAGTTGGGTTGAAAAATTCTCGACATATGGCTATTTATTTCGAGAGTCAAGAATTCGAATCAATCGAAAAAAAAGGCATGCTTTTTTTAGAAAAAGTACTTGTCTGTTTTTTTAATTTAAAGTATTTTGAGTCTTAGTATATAAAAGTTCAAACTTTCGATCATAAGTTATTCGAAGTGTTTGCTTTTTTACACATTGTACATACACACAAACATAAGTTATTTTTTTAATATTAATTGAAAAGTTTTCAATTGATTCTATTTTAATTTTTTTATTTAATTTGAATAAATACTTTTTTTTACAAAAAATTTTGATTTTATATTTTGAATTAACTCGTGACTTAGTACTAGATATATTTGATTTGTTGAGGAGGGGGCACCAAAATATTTTCAGTGCTTAGGGCCTCAAGAGGTCTTAATCCTGCCCTGCATATTTTCCTAAAAAAATATTAGAAATCTAATAACATTGGGCAATTTTCTTTGACCGGCCATCTTTATTACAGTACAGAAACCGTTATCCGGAAATCAGAAAACTGGAAAACCAAAAAACCGGAACGAAATTCGATAAATTTTCCTGCCATTTTTCTTAAGAAAAATTCTTTTTCCTCATAAGATTTCAGGAAAATTCTTTCTTTTTTGAAAGATGTTAACTTACCATCATTTTGGAAATTATCATTAGTGTATTAATTCATTGTTTTTTCTTCTTTTTAAGATTATTTCCAAGAATTTTTTTTTTTTTTTAGTTGAGTTTGACAATAAAAAAACGGCTTTTTGTAGCGATTCAGAAAACCGGAAAAATCAGTTATCCGGAATAGCGATGGTCCCGATCGTTCCGGATAATCGGTTCCCTACTTTGGAGTTACTGAGAGAGGGTGCTCTTTCTGTTTAATCTTTAGTACATTTCATGCAATTAGAAAATCCCCATCTACCTTGAGTAGATCCGCGTTTTAACTAAGTTTTCGTATAAGAAATTACGAATTTTATTACGAAAAATTGAACGAATCATATAGATACCAGTGAAGTTAATAACGCTATAGTTGGTTACTAATAATGTTACAAAATATTTTAAATCAGCTTCATTGAACCATATTAATAATGGCTACTTATTAGGTAATACTGGGTTTGCGAACAAATTACATAACAATTGTTTGTTGCCCTGATTGGCCATGCTGAGTTGCTAGGAATAAATAACTTTTGACCTAATTTTCGGATCTTCATGCACTAAGACTCGACTGGTTCGAGGGAGTGAATTCAAATATGCTATTATTGCAGACAATATTAAGTTAGAAATCAAACACAAAAACTTACTTTCTCTGATTAAACGTGCATTATTTTAGACAGATTTGGATATCTGACTCTCAAAATATAGGGGGTGTTCGCAATCTGGGAAAAATGGCTTAAATAGTTCGGTCAGGAAAGCGGTGTAAAGTTTTCATCCCCTATAGTCAATTTTACTTTTTTCGTATTTTGGTATGCCTCGAGAATTTCTTAGGTGAATCGAAAAATTTTTGCTGACAATTCATTTGAAGAAACTTCGAGACAAAAAATAATTCTTAGTAAATATTTATTGTTTTTTAGTATTTTAGAAATCAATTGTTTAAAAATTTTTCAATTATTAGGTATAAAATGTTTTAACATTTCCTGACCAAACTATCAGGACCTTATTTTCCATATTGCAACAACCCCTTAACATTTTGAGGTTCTGAAATCCAAATACGTTGAAAAAAAGGCATGTTTATTCAGTAATATATTTTTGTGTCTGATTTCGTTATTTAAAATGCCGTCTGTACTGAATAATTAGCGTATTTGAGGTCACCTCTTCGAATCATTAAGATTGAGTCCTATTACTTGAAGATAAGATTGTTAGTAATTCTTTTTTCTGAGCAATGTACACTAAAATGTTGTATTATCGAGACGTATCAGGTATGCATCAATCTATAAGTTAATTATCATTTATAAATTGAAGTATACCTGATTAAATTATGACTATAATTAAATCCTTCCGGATCTCAATTAATCTTAATTAAATCTTCTTCCATTGTACATTATATATATATTTTTTTGTTTTTCCTATTGTTTGTGTTGATTTTTAAAAATGCATGTTTTTTTTTTATTTTCCTTACATTTGTTTTTCTTTTAAAAATGGTTTCCAATTAAAATATGACTGTTATCTTTACAAAAACAACATATATTTGTATAAAGTATTTTTAGTTTTTTAGTAAACCTTTTATTCAAAAGATGCAATACATAAAGCAACTAAAGCCTCAATATAAGGGAAGGTATTTTGTGATTTTTTTAAAAGTTTTTGACTCACGGGATTCTTCTGAAATTTGAGATTTGCTTTCTGGCAGTAATATAATTTTGTAAAATTGAAACAGATTGGTAAAATCTGCACCTAACATAGATTTAGGTAATATCATAACATACATTTAGGTACATGACAATTTGTCCTTAAATGTAAACGAATAAACATTTAAATGCAATACAATTCTCCTTGGTTGCACTGAATGTCCATTTTTTTATTTTGATGCCTTAATCGAAACGTAAAAAATTGCAATAAAAAGTACATTACAATATTATTTATAATGGGTTAGGGGAAGTAATATGACTTACCACAGTTTCAAATTCTTCCTCGCAGCGTTTTTAAAGATAATTTTTTAACGAAAAATACTGTGATTTTTACGTAGATAATGAGATAATTCTGTGCCTTGTGCTCTTATCTCAAAAAAATTCTGGAATATAATGAATTGCCTATCTTGAATAAATTTTAAGGTACTATTTAATATAAAATTTTCCTCTTTATGAAAAGTATGGCTCATAATTCTGTAGTAATTTCTGTAGCAAAAATGTAATAAAATGGAAATCATAGCCCACAAGACTTATAGATATTTTTGTATTTTCTATTATAGAATTTCGCGGATATTTTTTTAATGCTTTTTTGAGGATTTTAACCTTTTGTCAGATTTGAGAGTTATTTCTTGTTTCCTAATGAAAACAACAAATATGGCATAGTACTATATAAGTGTCAACTAAACTACAGAATATTGTACAACAAAAGTATATTTATCTTCAATAACAAACATGGATAAATATTTTTTTTAAAAAAACAGACATAGATTTAATTTATATTAATCTATCCATTTCTGCAATGCATGGCGTACGTAATCATAAAGTGCTGTTCCCTTGAGTGCGTTAGTTGGTTTGGTTCCGTCTGGTGGAAGAACTGCCTTGCATCTGTCTTCATTGCCAGTAAAACCATTGCAAAGGACATCGGGTAGCTGGGCAAATATCATTCCAAGTAATTCTCTATCTGCTTGGGCTGTTTCTTCTCCGCATTTACTTTTCACAAGGTCTTGCATTATGTTATATCCCTTTGCGTAGCCACTGAAATACAAAATTTCCATTCAATAATACAGACAATGTACTTTTAACTTTAACTAAGTGCATCAAGTAGATATCGTCAATGGTGCGTAAAATTAAGAAGGTCAAACAGAACACTCTGACGAACTTGATGAGATTGATTCAATGATAAGATTTTCACGATCTTTAGTCTACGTAAATAAAAAAAGCGTTTCATGGTTATGTGATTTCTCTACTTTTTCACTCAGACATTTCCCTCTCCGTTACCCTGTTATCCATTTTTTCCTCACATCAGTACGTTATTATAACAATAATAATATAATATGATTATAATAATATACAGTTAGGATTTATAGATACTCCTCAACTGTAGTGTGAATAAAAGGAGTACCGTTTCTGCCTGTCTCATCGTTACCAAGGAGACGAGGGTAGAAAAAGCGATCTTGAGAAACCAATTTTAATTGGATACCTGCAAGTATCGTAGGTAAAATGTGGCAATGGGACGCTTGCAAGTGATATAGTGTGGGTATCTCGATCCTGATGGGTAGCTGAAATGTGGCATTTGTTTATGTTAGCAACTGTTCTTTATATTTTATTTCGAGTAAGCCAAGCCCGTCAAGTATCAATTCTCTTAAGTGTCACATTCCAAATTCTTTCACAAAGATTCTTTCTCAAAGATTTCAATTCTTTCAATATATATTTCCAGGGTTCTGCCTAGGCCGAATTTACTACCGTTTAGCGGCACCTTCAACAATTCAACTTTAGGAAAAACGGTAGCTTCACAAAATACTTTTTATTGAAATTTTATTTTGTAACCCTTAATAAACGATAAATCCATATTTTTACCATATTTTTATGTTGATTTTTTAATATAATTTTTAATTCTTCGCAAATTATGTCTAAATTTTCTCAAAATAGGTACTTTCAGTTTCCTACATCCGTAATAGTTCTTATAATTTCAATTTGGACTCACTCACTAAATTTTAGAATGCTTTTTAGAAAATACTGCAAAAGTTATTATGAGGAAGAAGAATATACGCTAACATTTAAAGTAACACCTGCTAACTTACATCGCCCCTGAACTGCGCAAATACAGCGACATTCTAAAGCAATAAAAAATAAATAAATAAATAAAAATAAATAAAAGTCACGAGTTAAATCACGTTCACATGATCTGATATATCTGATGACAAGCTTTGGTGCGCATTATGACCAATAACGTTCTATATTGGCATTTTTAGGAAAAGAATTACATTTTAGTAAATTTTTTAAATTTGGTTATAAAAGAAATATGTTCTTAAAAGAGGCAAAATTCTTCAACAAATAGAAAATAATTAAAGACGTTTAATTACGTACCAGCAACCATACATAAGCTTCTTTTCGTTTTCTATGGAGTTAATATTTTCAAGGACAGCAAGAAAATATTCTATATGATCTTTTACTTCGTCAAGTTGAGCCACTTGGTTCAGACATTCAGAGTGGGCTTCGTAACCTAAAACGAAGGCAATGAATTGAATCATTGAAAAACTATGAACTATTCGGAAGATATTTTCATTTTTAATAAAAAAGCAAACAAATATATGATTCAATATTCAATGATTTCTGACTTCTAAAACAAAAGTTCTTTTTCCATACAAAGCAATCAAACTAACAAGTTAATATTAAATAAATAATGCCACGAAACAGACGCGTAAGATATTATTATTTGATTAAAAAACTTCGCCCGCTTCAAATATATACAGATTGGTTTAAAAAAAAAATCGACTTATTTTAAACGCTCAAAAATAAGCGCCCATTTTCATGACTTGTCATACGTGAATGAGAAGAAACAACAAAAGTGATTTGGAATATATTAATAAAACGAATCCAACGTAGCCAACGAAAGTAAAAAAATTAAGTCGAGAAACAAAACTAGAAACAAAACCTGTTCCCCCCCTCACTGCCACAGTGGCTTTTCTAGTTCGGTTTTTTCTTCTTTATTTTTATTCTCTTTTGACTACTGAGGTTTTTCTAGTTTTGTTTCTTAACTTTATTTTCAATTTTTCGTTGGCAACTTTGCGTTTTACATTTCAAATCACTTTTGTTTTTCTCATTCACGTTTGGCAAGTCTTGAAAATGTACGCCTATTTTTGAGCGTTCGGAACATGCCGTATGTTCCAATCCGTATACTTTTGAAGAGGATAAAGTTGCTTAATCTCGTAATGACGAGTTAGTATTTTTTTTTTCTTTTTGAGCCATCATTTCTTTATCACCCGAAAATTAAAACAATAATAATTACAACCATAATAAGTTAGTAAGAAGTAGTTCTCCTGTTTTTGTATAGTAAAAGAATATCATCTGATTATTCAAATTTTGTTCAACTATATATCGAATCATCTATATACAATCGCAGCAACTATTATGACAGATATTGCTCTCCCAGATAAAATTTTCATGTTCTGTCCCAGTACATCTCCATCTTCATGGGTTTCTTTCTTCTACCATGGTAAGGGGCTGTCATTCAAAATTGCAGTTTCTAAGTTCTTAACAATTATTTACAGTTACTTACAGTTAGTCATTTTTATATTATGCGTGCAATTCTTTTGTATAAAACTGACATCTTGATACATATTCTTCTATTATTTATTTTGATTAACTAAAATTACTGTTTGTGGCGAAATTTTATTACATGTGGAATATAACAATGATCAAATAATTTAGAGCTAAGCCCATTTTTATTCGAAATCTGAATTCCATTTTTTACCCGAATAATTATGGAGGTAGTCATGGATCGAACTTTGGAAAAGAATATTTGTATTTTTTTAAACTCTCAAAAATAGTATATATAGGTGTCTACTATAAATTTAACTTCACCCTCAATGATTCACAGAACTGTACGCAATTTTAAACTAAAAAAAATTTTTTGTTACCAGTTATAATAAATTAACTATGTCTAACTTACGAGATCGTTGTGGTGATCCTTTAGAGCAAAATTGATACCTAAATTCTTCAACTCCTTCTACAGCCAAATCAACAACTTCCTTTTGCATTGGAGTTAAACATGTATCCAAGTATTTATGAGCACATTCAAAAGCTTTTTCGAGGTTACTGTAAACAATAATAAAATAATATTATCTGGAGATTTTGAAAACGATAAATAACAAAACATTGCATAATTTTAAAGCAAAAATATTTTGATTGAGTTCTATATTCAGGAAACCATGATTTTAAATGATAAATGCAGACGATATTTTTAAAAAAAAAAACTTTTTCTTTCGAAAAATAACTTCTAGTAAACATTTTTGATTTATTATGATTATATTTTTATTTAATAATGGTAGAAAAACATTTGAATCGTAAGGTATGCAATTTTTTGCACAATTTTAAAGAAAATTTAAATTTACTTATCAAAATAAAAAATTTGAGCAAAATCGGTTGAATAGTTCCCGAGAAATTGAATCTCAAATAAGTCAGATATTTAAAATTCGAGCTCTCAGGAACTAATCGATGAATTTTTGCTCAAAATTTGTATTTTTCCATGTAAAATTATATTCTTTAAAACGATGCAAAGAAGTTTTTCAACCATTAATTAATAAAAAAATAAAAAACAGTAAATATATGATAAAGACTATTTTTTCGCATGGAGTTATCTTTAGATAGACAAATTTTATAATTCTGTATAAGAAATTTTCATTTCGCTTAAAAAATTTTCGAGATATAGTGAAATACGCTAAAAGTAAAATTATTAGTAAGGAGTCCAAAATTTTGTACGCTCTCTTTACCAAACTATTGGAATCATATTTCTCTGATTGTGTCTACCCCATATATTTTGGGGTTCTGAAATTCGAATCCGTTGGAAAAAGGATATGTTTAATCAGAGAAAGTATGCTTTTGTGTCTGATTTCGTAGTTTAAAATATCGTCTGCACTAATTCATTAGCATATTTTGGGTCAATTCCTCGAGATTGAGTCCTAGAACATGAAGATCCGATCATCAAATCAAAAGTTGTTCACTACGGTCCGTTTTTTTGTGTTGCTATCCTCTCTCTCTCTATAAATATATATATATAT